CTGGGGAGAAGTTACCCTGCACCAGTGAAGTCTCAATTCACAACTGTAGATCTGGGGAGAGGTTACCCTGCACCAGTGAAGTCTGAGGAGAAGTCTCTCTGTGGCTCTGGCTCGGGGTTCCGAGAGGATGGGTGTCACTGTGACTTCGTCTTTGTCTTCGTCTTGAAGAACTTGATGATGGCTGACAACGCCCCCACCCCCGCACTAGCTGCCACCCCAACCCCAACCTCCGCAGCAATAACGCCTCCGACAACCAGGCCTCCGGCCACACCCCCAGTCGCGGTCAGCACAGACCCGGCCACTATACAGGCCACCTTCACGCCAAACTTTGTTTTGTGTTTCTTCAGGAATGTCTTGCACTCCGCAGCCATATACTTTTCAAACTCCTCGAAATCCTGTCTGGATTTGATTTGGCCCTTCACACAGTCCAGCAGCTCCTTCTCTTTTCTCTTCACTGTCTTCTTCATCTTGTTTGGAAGTTTCAGCCGTACCTTTCCCTATGGAAAAAGGAGAGCTAGGTCACTTCAGAGCAAACGGTCATCCCTACGTCCTCTGACCTTCCCCCGGACACCTCAGAAATAAGCAAGTGGCTGCCCCAGGACACCCCAAAAACAAGCAGGAACTCGCTGCCCAGGACACCACCAAAAACAAGCAGGTCTTTCTCTGCTTGATCTTTCTCTAAGGAAACAGGGCGCAAGGTCGTTTTACAGCAGAGGGCAGCACACTACGTCTTCTGAACTGCTCGGGGCTAACGTCAAGATACCCCAGACACAAGCAGGAGCCCACCTCAAAATACCCCAGACACAAGCAGAAGACACCCCAGTGGAGCCCAGTAGATTACACACACACTGTCACTGACAAACACTCTCTCACATTCACAACCCCTCCCTGTTTCTCTCACACACACTCTTTCACACACACACTCTCACACCCTCCGTTTCTCACACACACTCTCTCTTTAATACACAAAAATGATGACACACACTCTCTCACACCTTACAAAGTTTCTCTCCCACACTCTCACACCCTTCCCATTTCTCACACAAACACACACACTCCCTCACCCTCCCAGTTTCTCTCTCACACACACACTCACCTGCTCATTCAGAAAGTCGGTGAATTCCTTCTTGATGATGAACTTCTCTCGCTCAGAGCTCAAGAACTGTGAGAGCTCCTGGAAATCCTCCTGACTGACTTCACCCGTCACATGGGCCAGCAGCTCTTCCTCCTTCTGTACCATAGTCCTCCTCATCCCCTGTGTGCAGTTGTGAATGATCCTTCTCTGAGGAAACAGAGCACAGGGTCACTTTAGAACAGAGGGCATCACACTACGCCCCCCAAACTGCTCAGGGCTCCCCAGACACAAGCAGGAGCCCACCTCAAGATACCCCAGAAACAAGCAGGAACCCACTTCAAGATACCCCAGAAACAAGCAGGAGCCCACCTCAAGATACCCCAGACACAAGCAGAAGACACCCCAGTGGAGCCCAGTAGATTACACACACACTGTCACTGACAAACACTCTCTCACTTTCACAAACCCTCCCCGTTTCTCACAAACTCTCTCACACCCTCCCCATGTCTCACACACACACACACTCTCTCTCATACATACAAACAATCACACACACTCTCACACCTTCCAAGCTTCTCTCCCACACTCTCTCACCCTCCCAGTTTCTCTCACACACACACCCTCTCACACAGACACACTCACCTGCTCATCAAGAAAGTTGGTGAAGTCCTCCTTCGCCCTCTCGATGATGAGGAGATTGTATTCCTTCAGGAACTTCTCTCGCTCAGAGCTCAGGAACTGTGAGAGCTCCTGGGAATCCTGCTGACTGACTTCACCCTGCACACGGGCCAGCAGATCTTTCTCCTTCTGTACCACAGTCCTCCTCATCCCCAGTGTGGTGTCATACATGATCGATCTCTGAGGAAACAGAGCACAGGGTCACTTTAGAGCAGAGGGCATCACACTACGCCCCCCATACTGTTCAGGGCTCCCCAGACATAAGCAGGAGCCCACCTCAAGATACCCCAGACACAAGCAGGAACCCACCTCAAGATACCCCAGAAACAAGCAGGAACCCACTTCAAGATACCCCAGACACAAGCAGGAGCCCACCTCAAGATACCCCAGACACAAGCATGAGCCCACCTCAAGATACCCCAGAAACCAGCAGGAACCCACATCAAGATACCCCAGACACAAGCAGAAGACACCCCAGTGGAGCCCAGTAGATTACACACACACACACACACACACACACACACACACCCTTCCAGTTTCTCACACACACACTCTCATACCCTCCCTGTTTCTCACACACACACACACTCTCACACCCTCTACGTTTGTCACACACACTTACACTCTCACATCCTCCCAGTTTCTCTCTCTCACACACACACACACTTTCCACTTCCCTGTTTCTCACATACTCTCTCTCTTTCACACACTGTCTCTCGCTCATACACACACACTCTCACGGACATAGACTCTCCCCTGCACACTCTCTCACACCCCCCCCAACCCCAGTTTCTCACACACAAAATGTCTCGCTCATACACACACAGGTTAGTGAATTCCTCCTTCGCCCTCTCGATGATGAGGAGAGTGTATTCCTTCAGGAACTTCACTCGCTCAGAGCTCAAGAACTGTGAGAGCTCCTGGGAATCCTGTGGACTGACTTCACCCTGCACACAGGCCAGCAGCTCTTCCTCCTTCTGTACCACAGTCCTCCTCATCCCCTGTGTGGGGTCGGGCATGATCAAGCCCAAACTCAAACACACACATAGAGTGTGTGCACACACTCTCTCACACCCTAATACTTACACTGTCACACTCGCACACACTCTTACCTGCTCATTCAGAAAGATGGTGAACTCCTGCTTCAGCTTCTGGAGAGTTTTCTGGTAGAGGGCATGGAGGAGCTGGGGAAGGAAGCAAAGGGGTTACAGATAGAACTGATATTGATACAAGTATTCTGGAATAATAGACGCCCAGAAACACGTTTCAAGGAATAATCTACCCTGACAGGCTGAAGGAACTGAGTCTCTTTAGTCTGAAGGGAGTGTCCCACACTGACAGGCTG